TATATATATATATATATATATATAATATGTTCCCTTACGTGCAGTGTATATACATTTTGTTTTTTTCTTCCCTTACGTGCAGTGTACACATAGTTTGTTTTTATGCTCTAATATTCAATGTGCGAGACGGATGGGCTACCATCTTTACATGCAGTTTGGCGTCAGTCTTGCAAATAAAAAAGTAAAATAGCTGAGTTACTCTTTTGGAGATATCTACTCCTTAAAAACAGTTGAGTTTTAAATTTTGGTTTGTTTGGAATTTCGCGCAAAGCTCCGCAAGGGCTATCTGCGCTAACTATCCCTAATTTATCAGTGACAGATTAAAAGGAAGACAGCTAGTCAACACCATTCACCGCCATCTCTTGGGATACTCTTTGACCAGGCGAATAATGGGATTGACTTTCACGTTATAACACTCCCGTGGCTGAAAGAACGAGCATGTTCGGTCACGGGTATTCAAACCCCCGACCCGTAGTTTGCGAGTCGAGCGCCCTAACCACCCGGCTCACAGCCCGTATTTTAAATTAACAGTGTGTTGTTTCACAGCGTAAATTATGTTCCCCAAACACAGACCCGTGTCAAATCTAACAAAAATGACTGTTCAAACACAGATCTATGTCAACTATAACAAAAGTGATTGTTCAATCACAGACTCGTGTCAAATATAACACAAGTGAATCTTCAGTTACAGACCCGTGTCAACCATAAAAAAATGACTGTTGTAGCGATATAGAAAAACGTTTTTTTTGGTTTTTTTTCTAAATGACGTGCTGATTTCAATTCAAAATTTTATATATATTTGAGTACATTTTTGTATTGCGAAGCCACATTTTTATGACGAGGTTTGGTTTGAATCGTGATTTTTAAAATATTGTGTTTATAAAATGTTTAACTTTTATTTTATGTTATCAAATGCTTTAATATTATTGTAGGTATGTTGACTGCTTAAAATAATACCACATGAATAATGTATCAATAACACATTTGTGGTATGGTTTTTTGGTTCGTGATGTATGGTCATTAACTTGTGTTTTAGACATTCAAGCACCAAATTTGTATATCAAGGAAAACGTGGCATGCAAGTTGTACCGTTTTTAAAATGTATTTTAGCTTGAAATATTACATTTATCAGTTATTAAAGCCAAAACCTTTAGTTTATGGTCGCTGGTTGGAGATCTGAATTTCGGAAGTGGTGAACCAGATTCGAATCCGTTTGATACAACAAAATATTTCCGCACTTTAAGGTGTGGGTGTGTTATAAGAATGACAGTCAATCTATTATTGTTGACTTAGGATGGTAGGATGCTGTTGACTGGCTGCGTTTCTCTCTGATCAGTGGTTTAAGATTAGGAAAATCTGAGAATTAACTTTTTACAGACGTTGTTTTTAGAAAAGATTCCTATTGTTTTTGTATTATATTTCAATCAATTTTTGAAGATATCGGTTTTAAAACACATTGATAGTCTTTTGCAAAATCTAAGTTATAGCTTATATTATTTAAATCAATTATACGATTTTTCATGTTCCTTATTTTTCTGTATAATTCCAACTCGCGACAATCATTGAATTATATGGATTTAAAGATGAAATATTGGAAAAACAACAACAACAATTTGACTACTTTTGAATTTACGCAAAACAATTTTTTTAAACACGCCACTTCGAGTGAGTTAATCGTTTATTCGATCTATATTTTGACATCATAAGCATAAACGTGTGTCCTTAGTACTCAGCTGTCTGGAATTTCATCATTTTAAAACTCAGTTTACAAATATTTAGAAACAAAAATCGAGACGTGGGTGTCTTGGCACGCGTTGTCGCTTAACTATTTTGATTAGTGAGCCAGTTACTGTTCAGTCTGAGATACTAAATAAAAATTCTCCTTTGCTGCAACGCTCGCGACTGATAGCATTAGTTATCCATGTTCTAACACAAAGTGGCAAACACTCATTTCTGTACAAATACACGAACAGAACTTTAATCGGAATGGTTTATAACAGGTGGAATTTTAGACTGACTTACAGATAAATATTAACAACTTAAAGATCGGAATAATTTAAAACATATTATTATTATATATATCAACTGTTAATTAAACATGTTGTAAGTTCACTCTTGTGTGAATTTCTGGTCTTTACATGTATGTGTCACCATTGTCAACTCTGCAAATCTGAAAGCAAAAATATTTTGTCAAAAAACTAAAATTAAATCTATATATCTTGTTATTTTCCAGCTTATTTGGAAACAGAGGCTATAAATGTATGCGGATTCACAAACGTACACCTCAGGTTGTTGAAATCCAAATGGGTGAGAAGTTTCGATGTTTCTGCTACAAGAAACATTCCTTTATATTAACACTCATCATTTATTTCTACGTTTAGAAATTTTCTCTTTTGTAACAGATTAGCTGTAAGTATTAAGATCATTTATACATATAAGGGAATCAGATTTCTTTCTACAGATTTATCTAATAATTTCTATAGATTTATCTCATTATTTCTATAGATTTATCTCATTATTTCTATAGATTTATCTCATTATTTCTACAGATTATCTCATTATTTCTAAATATTTGTCTTATTATTTCTATAGATTTATCTCATTATTGCTATAGATTTATCTCATTATTTCTATAGATTTATCTCATTATTTCTATAGATTTAGCTTATTATTTCTATAGATTTATCTCATTATTCCTATAGATGTATCTCATTATTTCTATAGATTTATCTCATTATTTCTATAGATTTATCTCATTATCTAAAATATTTTCATTCAGTACCTAAGACTCATTTGAACTGGCGAAACACTTCTGTGTATTGTCTATATATTGTAGGTTAAAGGCTTTACAAGCAAACTCTCTTTTTCGTCCATTCAGTCACTCTGAAAACCCATGATTATTCTCAGGAGATCTTATTATATTAACTAATGTATCAAGAAGCGTAGGAACAAGGAGATAAATTCCAGTTTGTTCTGTGAACACCAAGCTGGTGTAACAACATTTGTGTATTACGATACTTTACAGTATTGTAGTTAAAATATATCTATAGGTCGTACATCCAATTGGAAGTTCATGTGCCCTGATGTATTGAAATATTTTTACCGATTTTAACTTTTATTTCAACCAATCATATTATATATGTGAAGAAGAGGTAACATTTTTTTTAAATGTTTGTCCTGACACACTTGTTTTTGCACAGGTCTTCAAGTTATGTTAAATTTACAACAAAATGTATTAAATCAGGAACCAAAAATTGGTATGTCCAGCTGCTGTTTATTTTATGTCATTCGATCGCTGTTGCCCCCCAGTGGCTCAGCGGTATGTCTGCGGACTTGCAACGCTAGAAATAGGGTTTCGATACCCGTGGTGGGCAGAGCACAGATAGCCCATTGTGCAGTTTTGTACTCAATTACAAACAAATCGATCGCTGTTTTGGTTCCCTTGTTCACTTATATTTTGTTTTATAATTCGCATTTTCTTATTTCTTTTTAATTGATCCAGTTCAGAGGAAACCGCAAGTACCACAGAAAATGTTTTATCTTTTATTTATTTTTTATTAACGATCTTGACTCCATTATGGAGCTCACTAATCACATGAATGGTCATTAACCATTTATTATTTATTAATATAATTCAGCTGAAGTGAAAATTACAGAATCCAAGAATGCAGATTATGTTGTTAGACCCAAACTTTTTAATTGTTCGAATTTTGTGTGAAATTGAAGAAATAAAACAACATTCAAATCGTATTTGTCCATGCTTATAATTGATTTGTAGTGCACGTGAGCACGTAACGAGGTGTCTGGCTGATCAATTTTTTATGTGTGAGTTTGTGTGAAACCCTTATCAACCAATATTTGATATCTCTTTGAGTTAAATTGTGGCTCAGAAACTACGAATAAGTCGGGCGTAAATTACGAACCAAATATTTATTGAAAAATAGAAACTGTTGATATAACATATTATAATTCTTATTAGATAATAAAATCACTTAATATCAACCCATGTTTTGTAGATCATTAAACTGCCACCACCTATCTAGCTACTAAACGTACCAAAATCTACACCACGTGTACGGACAGCTTTACAGATCAAACACGTGCTAACATTCGCTAACAGAGTTAATCTCGATAATACCAGAAGATAGAATAATCTAACAGATACCACTGTGATCTCCTTTTTATCCTAATAATTAATTACTTTAATATATGTTGTTGTTACATAAATCGATAGCTTGACAAAGTGAAGGTTAAATTATATTAAATATTTGCAGACCGAAGTCAAAAGGATATTTTTTCCCAACTATCAGCATGAGATATCATGTTTCGAAGTTCATTCGCTCAACGTAAGGTCAGTTTATTTTACATTTATCTTTAAAGCCAGTCTCCTAAAACTCACACTCACTTAACCCTCTTCACACATACATAACCCTGACATCATCTCACCCTCACTTAATCCTCAGTTGTCACCCCTACATAACTCTCACTTAACCTTCACCCTCCTTTAACCCACACATTCACTTAATCCTATCCCAAACATAAAAACCTTATCTAACCATAACCCACACATAACTCTCACTCAACCCACAAAGACCCATAACGCTTATCCTCACTTAACACTCACATAACCCGTATCGACACATAACCACCACCCACAAATAATCCTCACGCTCACATAACCCACACTTTACTTTCTCATAATTCCCACTTAACTCTCACCCTCATTAACCCACAAGTAACTTTCACCTTCAATTAACCCCACACGTAATCCTTACCCTCACCCTACCATCACCCACACATAAAACTTTACTTAACCCTTACCCTGAGTTAATCCTCTCTCATACATAGCTCTCACTTAACCCTCACCTTCACTTGACTGCCACCAATAAGTAACGCTCACATAACCCTCACCCACACATAATCTTAATTTAACCTTCACCCTAATTTAACACACACTTAACCCTAACCCACTTATAACTCATGTAACTCTCATCTTCACACTCACTTAACCCTCACACTCACTTAACTGAGAGTGAAGGTTACATGTTGGTGAGAGTTAATGCATTACAACTGTCAAAGATGTTTTTATTTCACATTGCTTTATGCCGTTTCGTTAAAAGACGACATTCAGATTAAGCCTATCGTTTCGTTAAAAGACGACATCCAGATAAGGGCTAAGTGCAAGGAAAATACCCTTTCGTCTTTGCTTAAAATAATTTGCATCCTTTCCAGTCATATAAAACGTACACGGTCTTGAAGTTATATCATTTTTATTGCAGATCACAATAATCCAATTTATTGGCTTCCAGATTGTTGAAATATCGAAGGGAAGCATAATGTATTATTAACAACAATATTTATTATTATTAATTATTTATTTATTAACATACGATTATTTTTTAAATCTGTGTTGGACGTCTTATTTTAACATAAGCTATTTCTTACAAGATAAGTAAGAACGCACCTTCTGAATTTTTATTTTATTGTTTTGGATTCACAGGTTCATACTAAATTTTTAATATGTTTTTTGCCATTTGAATGTTCAAAATAAATACGTCACAATTTGTGAATGTAAAACAAAAACAGTGCTCACACCAAAGGCAGGGGGTTCATTGCTTTATAGCTATATAGCTCTGAACTGTAGACATGTCACTCATGTAACCAACACGTTGAGTGAAATGTGAAGCTATATAGCTCTAAATTGTAGACATGTCACTCATGTAACCAACACGTTGAGTGAAATGTGAAGCTATATAGCTCTAAATTGTAGACATGTCACTCATGTAACCAACATGTTGAGTGAAATGTGAAGCTATATAGCTCTGAACTGTAGACATGTCACTCATATAACCAACACGTTGAGTAAAATGTGAAGCTATATAGCTCTAAACTGTAAACATGTCACTCATATAACCAACATGTTGAGTGAAATGTGAAGCTATATAGCTCTAAACTGTAAACATGTCACTCATGTAACCAACACGTTGAGTGAAATGTGAAGCTATATAGCTCTGAACTGTAGACATGTCACTCATGTAACCAACACGTTGAGTGAAATGTGAAGTTATATAGCTCTCAACTGTAGACATGTCACTCATATAACCAACACGTTGAGTGAAATATGAAGCTATATAGCTCTCAACTGTAAACATGTCACTCATGTAACCAACACGTTGAGTGAAATGTGAAGTTATATAGCTCTCAACTGTAGACAACTGACTTCTATCGAGTGATTTAGTTAGTTAGTTAAATGAATAGTTTCAGGAGTAGTGTACAGGTTTTGCTGACTGCTAGGAAAACGATTTAATATGTAACATAGCGACACCTAGCGCTGAAACCTGAATAAACATGATGTGAAATATCTATCATCGAATTACTGATCACCAATTTTTTTAGTTTTAGTTATATTGGAATATAAATTAATTGTTCGTATTATTGGATCATTAACACTTGCTCAGAATCGCGTTTATTGTAGAAATATTATTTTGTTTAATTTGAATTGTATTCCAATTATGCTTAGATAAAGCTTTGACTAACCAAAACTAAGTGAAAGAGCATTTACATTACATATTTTACCACAGATTTACATCATCCCATACAAATCTTGTTATCCTTATTAATTATTTTACTACAAATTTACATCATCCCATACAAATCATGTTATATTTATTACATATTTTACTACAGATTTACATCATCCATATAAATCATGTTATCCTTATTACTTATTTTACTACAGACTTACATCATCCCATTCAATCATGTTATATTTATTACTTATTTTACTACAGATTTACATCATCCCATACAATCATGTTATATTTATTACTTATTTTACTACAGATTTACATCATCCCATACAAATCATGTTATCCTTATTACATATTTTACTACAGATTTACATCATCCATATAAATCATGTTAGCTTTCAAATAGACAGAAAGGGTTGTCTAATGTTGTGAAACAGTCAAATGCGTCTCTCTAACACTAGTAAACAACAACATAGAGTAAAGAACGTAAACTCAGATGCTATGATATAAGTAGTAGAAAATAAAGCACAGTTTGAATACAGGAGCTCAAACTAAAAAAGTTACTCAAACGTAGACATTCATTAAAAAACATAAGTTTAGGTATTTTCAAGAGTGTCGGCACAGGAAATCGTACAGTTTTCTATACAACTGGAGGATTGTTTTAATTTGACGAGGACTGATCCCTCACATTAATAAAAGGAGTGTACTGTTTTTAGAGATACACCCAATCGCGTCAGGTCATACAATATATGCATTTCTGAGTCTTCTCTCCTGGTTACAACTTTTGTTATGAAATCCCATCGATATCTTTTATTTATTTAATCCTAAAAAAAAACACTTTTATTTCTAATTTTCACTCCAATTAATTATAAGTTTTATTGTTGTGTTTTTTTTGAAAAACTAGTTTCCATGTTGAACAAAAGTCCAATATTTATCTTTTCTCATTAGAGTAAGCATTGGGTAAGGCATTTTCTAGAATGCCTAAACTGATTTTACATTAGTTATCTGTAGAACGAACATATGATGCTTCGAGCAACATACATCAGGTACTTCATGAGATCGTACCATTTTACTGTAACGCAATTATTCATAATGACTTATATATACATATATATGTATTAAGTCTAATGAAGGCGAGTCTGTTGCTCTCTGTAATTTTAATGTTATTAAATCAGCTTTTCAGTGTTTGAAATTATACGTGTTTGTAGATGTTCAAATGTAAGAGGATTGTGTATAAAAGGTAGACGTAAATGAATATACTCACTGATTTACGTACAAATCTTTACTTAGATTGGTCCATGCCTTTATAACCCTAGACAATAATGACATTCAGGTACATAAGTAGATATTGAGGATTTAAACTAAACAATTAGGAATTCTGTCACTTTGGTCTTGTTATTGTTTTCTTTTCTACTAAATAGTATTACTATATGGGTCTTGTTATTGTTTTCTTTTCTACTAAATAGTATTACTATATGGGTCTTGTTATTGTTTTCTTTTCTACTAAATAGTATTACTATATGGGTCTTGTTATTGTTTTCTTTTCTACTAAATAGTATTGCTATATGGGTCTTGTTATTGTTTTGTTTTCTTTTCTACTAAATAGTATTGCTATATGGGTCTTGTTATTGTTTTGTTTTCTTTTCTACTAAATAGTATTACTATATCATATGGGTATTGTTTATGCTTTGTTCTATGTTATATAGTATTATATCATATGGGTATTGTTTATGCTTTGTTCTATGTTAAATAGAATCACGATAGTCTTTTCTTATGTGTGTAACTAAACTAATAGTTGTATATTTTCCGTTTGATGAAAAGGGTTATTTTTCGCAGGTAAACAGGTTTCACACGCTACTGAAGCATGTACTGAGGAGGTGTTTGATTCGTCAGAAGATTTTGTAACCCTAACAAGTATGTACTATCTGTCTTTTATAACTTAACTGTTAGTTTACTAGCTGAAATATTAACTTTTTTATGAAATTCTCAAAGTTATTTATTGAATCAGTATATCATATAAATTCTCTCAATACCAAGAGCATTCCTACTGCTACAGGCTAGTTTATATCAGTGAAGGTCGATACTTGCGTTACTGTGGTCCAGTGTTTATCTTGTATTGATTATCGTTAGCAGTGTATTGTAGAATGATGTCCGAATTATTTTGCGTTTACTTTAGCCAAGACCCCTGCAACGGACGGCTGTCCACTAATAGGAGTTTACAAGATAAAAGAATCGAAGCCACAGTTTTCTAAGCTAGTGAGCAGCGATTCGAATGACCACTCGTGTACTGAGTGGTCAGTTTTGTCAGCGGCATGTAACAAGTACGATCGACTAGACTTCCAGATGGAATGCTCATCTGAAAAGAAAGTGAAAAGTAAGGTGTAGCCACAGGAAAAGATATGAATATATACATACATAAAGAAAGAAGTTTATAAAAACGTTCCCCAAAAACTTTAGAGTATAAAAATGGCTACAATATATATATATTATTTGCTTTTTAATTTCATTTTTGATGACTGCATAATGGATCTCAATTTAGATTGAGTAAATGACAATTTTCATGGAACTGTGTTATCGTTAAATTGAGTATCGAAAAATCCTTTAATGTAAAAACTACAGTACAAGATTTATTTAATTTTGTTTCGTGCGTAAGGCTGATTAAACAAAGAAATTAAGCCTAATATGATATTGAAATATGCAATGACTCAAACAGTGTAAGTGACGAAATATTATCGCAATCGTATTTATATTACCCAACTGACGTATTCATACTTGTTTACATTACCCAACTGACGTATTCATACTTGTTTACATTATCCAACTGACGTATTCATACTTGTTTACATTACCCAACTGACGTATTCATACTTGTTTACATTACCCAACTGACGTAGTTCATACTTGTTTACATTACCCAAGTGATGTATTCATACTTGTTTACATTACCCAAGTGACGTATTCATACTTGTTTACATTACCCAACTGACGTATTCAAACTTGTTTACATTACCCAACTGACGTATTCAAACTTGTTTACATTACCCAACTGACGTATTCAAACTTGTTTACATTGCCCAACTGACGTATTCAAACTTGTTTACATTGCCCAACTGACGTATTCATACTTGTTTATATTACCCAACTGACGTATTCATACTTGTTTACATTACCCAAGTGACGTATTCATACTTGTTTATATTACCCAACTGACGTATTCATACTTGGTGACTATTCGGATGTCTGAATTTGGGAATACGAAGTACAAATGTTGCAGCAGTTGACAGTTTAGGGTTAGAGTATTGAAATGATACTATAAAATAAAGAAGGCTGCCTCGATGAATTCTCTATCTTTGGCTTGCACATCTGTATAATATATGATGTTTTCATGTAATATCATCCTAGTTTACACAAAATCGTAACGGTCCATGTAATTGGCAGATAACAAAACGAGAAATATTTTCTTCTCTTAGGTTTTCAATGTCACGGAAGTTGGGAAGAAAATGGAACTCAGTATCTTATTACCAGTATTCCTCACACCAGGGAGCAATACTGTATGGTGAGTGTGCAACGTGTTTCTTTTTCACCAATTAAAGGAACCTTGAACAGTGTGCTTCGTTGTGCTGAAGTACATATTGTGTAAGCACTTTGACTTTTATGTAAAATGTTGTACTAACAGTTTTACGTTGAACATGTTATTACACTTTATTGTAGATGTTTTGGACTCAGTTATCAATTTTTTGTCAACAATATATTTAATATATAAATCACTTGAATGTTACCCAATAATTTATTTCTGTGAGATCGTGTAAGTCTGTGCGCATGTACTAACAAGTTGGGCAAACCATTTTCCAACAGCTAGACAACTATATTCGGCTTGTGTAACGTCATTTTTCATTAATAGTATATTTAATATATAAATATCTTGGATTCTGTCTTTAATTATCTTCTGTGAGACTATATAAACGTGTTTACATATATTAACAACTACAATGAATCAACTTAAAGCTACAATCTCCTTTATCAGCCTCACTGAGCTGTGAGAGCTGACATCACCCACTATTTAAACTTGCAGCTGGCCATGATGTGGGTTTTGTTACCTAATCAAAGATAATATTGCCATTAACACCAGCGGAGGGAAGGGGGAAGAAAGCCGGAGTGATAAATTTAACCCGAAAGTCCAGAATGAGCGAACACAAAGCTGCTTGCATCTGTGGAGTCTCCACTGAGCACATGGCTCACGCATTACACGATAAACAAACGGGGATAAGTGATAGAAATCTAAATGTAGTAGTGTTTGTTAGTCATCTCAGCTCTGAGTAATTGTATATCAAAAATTTAAAAAAATATTTGTTTGAGATGTACTAAAATGGTCATCTTAATATTGGGTAATTTATTGTAAAAAATAAAATAATTGCGTTTTATGTAAGTTGTACTGAAATGACGAACATCTAATTATGTTTCAAGAAATGTAATGTCAATGAATAAAACACGCAACATTATATATATATATATATATAAATATACTAGTTTTTCGTTTTTTAATTGGCTTTATAATTAGCAGAATGTTACTAAACTAGGTGTAAACTCCAGTTATTGATAGGTTCAGTTAGGTCTATAATATTTCCGTTTTCTTTTCACAATATTATGACTTATTTCCATGTTTTATAAATATATGTTACCCTTTTTTAAAGGTTCACTCCAAACATAAAGATCGTAATACTTTCGTTGTATCTTTACTATTCCCATAGACTAGCTTCAACCACGATTTTTATATAGAACAATGGTAACTAGTAAGCTATTGGGGATATTTGTAAAGCGATAATCCCCTCACTCTACCCCCAAACAACAACAACATACTACCTGATGATACATGTTATATAACATTTATATAGACTGATTCGTCAATTCGCTTGTACCAGACACCAGGTGTTTATTAAGATAAAGCACATTTAGTTGATTATACATTTTTGTGCTGAATAGTAAAAGTTAATTAGTAGTTTAAACAATATATATATTTTGTAAAATACATTGTTGGTTTTTACTTGCTGTAACCACGTGATTTGCAACAGGAGGAGGAGGGGGGTGTCTCTTCAAATAACAGGTTTACGCCTGCGCTCAGACTCCGTGGTTTATTATTCAAGTTTGAGCATTTGAGCTTATTAGTTCTAGATACATATGTATATAACCTCAAAAAACAATACATAGTGAAGTGTGAGTTATTTATTAGAAATTGCTGCATTCCAGTCAACACGTGCCAGAAAGTTAAACGATGCGAGAGCACAGTATCCCTTGGATCATTATTCTAATTAAGAATCAACAGACAAAAACGATACTGGCATGTGGTAACTCATCTGGTATAATGGCGCTATGATAGGGAGTTGAATATCCGGTTAACTTTTTATTTATCACCACATTTGTGTTTGTTAATATTACTATGTTAAGTTCACACGTAATATGATTATTTTGTTTTTTTCGCAGTATCCTTTGAAACAGGCACTTATTTCACAACAAGGAGTCCTTACGTAGTTATTAATCAGGTTCAGGTGAAACCTTTTAACTCCTTGTACTAATATAGCTGTTCAGGCTCAGGTGAAACCTTTTAACTCCTTTCCTAATATAGTTGTTCAGGCTCAGGTGAAACATTTTAACTCCTTGTACTAATATAGTTGTTCAGGCTCAGGTGAAACATTTTAACTCCTTGTATTAATATAGTTGTTCAGGCTCAGGTGAAACCTTTTAAGTCCTTGTCCTAGTATAGTTGTTCAGGCTCAGGTGAAACCTCTTATGTCCTTGTCCTACTTTAGTTGTTCAGGCTCAGGTGAAACCTCTTATGTCCTTGTCTTAGTATAGTTGTTCAGGCTCAGGTGAAACCTCTTATATCCTTGTCCTAATTTAGTTGTTCAGGCTCAGGTGAAACCTCTTATGTCCTTGTCTTAGTATAGTTGTTCAGGCTCAGGTGAAACCTCTTATATCCTTGTCCTAATTTAGTTGTTCAGGCTCAGGTGAAACCTCTTATGTCCTTGTCCTAGTATAGTTGTTCAGGCTCAGGTGAAACCTCTTATGTCCTTGTCCTAATTTAGTTGTTCAGGCTCAGGTGAAACCTCTTATATCCTTGTCCTAATTTAGTTGTTCAGGCTCAGGTGAAACCTCTTATGTCCTTGTCCTAATTTAGTTGTTCAGGCTCAGGTGAAACCTTTTAACTCCTTGTCCTAATATAGTTGTTCAGGCTCAGGTGAAACCTTTTAACTCTTGTATTAATATAGTTGTTCAGGCTCAGATGAAACTTTTAACTCCTTATACTAATATAGTTGTTCAGGCTCAGGTGAAACCTTTTAACTCCTTGTATTAATAGAGTTGTTCAGGCTCAGGTGAAACCTTTTAACTCCTTGTCCTAGTATAGTTGTTCAGGCTCAGGTGAAACCTCTTATGTCCTTGTCCTAATTTGTGTTCAGGCT